TTCGAGTGGTTGGAAAACTGTCAGAGGAGGGTCTGCTGCCCTCTTCATCAACTGTGTTTCCCCTTCCCCTCCCATTCTTATATAAGGGCATGAAAATGGCAGTTGGTTTGACTGCAGGGGGCATGATGGAGCAGATTACTCCTGAGCCGCCACTGATGTAACTTACACCAGTGGCAGAAGTTAGAGTTGGTCCCCTGCTGTTCTAATGTTTAGGGGGGTCAGTTGGCCAAGCATCAGGGAGCTGCAACACATTCCCTGAAGCTGCCACTCTCCACTACAAGCATAACACAGTGTAGAATCGAGGCCTTTACCTTTATTTTTATTTACCAAGATGATACGTTGCTGCTCTGTAGTCAGATTGGGACTAGATGCATGAGGCAACTTCAGGAGACTTTGGAAATTCGGACTCGGGTTTGTTTGTATTGACCCTCCTTGATGACTGGGTCATCTAGGGGATTACATTAAAATAAACAAGCTAGATAGGTCAAATTTGCCTTAAATTAGGCATTTACATCAATATTTATGTATATTTAAATAAAAATGACCAGGTTTGCAGTGCTGCTAAGCAGTGACAACTCTCACTGATTTCAAGAACAGTTAGCAATGCTCATCTCTTCTGAAAAATGGCTACTTTTATTTAGGTACCTAAATACAAACATAGGTTTGGGCACTCACATGTGAAAATTTTGGCCATGCATGTTTTAAAAAAAATGCTTGACAAGACTTGGCAACTGCAGACTCAGTGTTTGTTTCTGCCTATATGAGAGAGAGCGATTGAGTTCAAATTAACACCTTCACTCTATAGAAACTCCTCCACACGTGCTATAGAAGAAAAGATAATTACATCCAGAGTTCAGAGCTTGTAATTTACAAAATATATTTGTAAAGTTAACTGTTCATCTCTAGTAAATTAGAAAGCCGCATATTATAGCATGGCACTAGCAAGGCTGAAGTCCTGGGGAAAAATGGTCGTCACCTACTAGAAAAAAAGTCAGATGCTTTCCCCCCCCATAATTTTAAATAGACTTTGTGTGAAATCTCAGGCTGGCTGTGTGAAGTCCTCAGTGAGCACAGCTGTCTCTGCCCTTTCTGAAGAAAAAATAATTTAGAAACAAGGAAATGATAAACATTAGGGCACTGGGCGTGTTCACTACCTCCGTTTTATTGCTGCTTTAACTATGCACAATTAAATAACCCTGGCTCCTTAACCCCCTGGACAGGATGCACAGTGACTGGGAATCCTCATGAGTACCATTCATTCAGGCTGAGCGCCGGGGACAGGATTTGGGCCTCAGTGCAATTTTCTAGATAACCAGACTCTCGAAATTCTTCTGCTCACTAACATACTATTTGGTGTTCCGCTTCTCATGGAAACACACCACGTCCCTGACACACCACCCAGGAAAGTCACAAATCCAGTGTCTCCCCAATGCTAGCCTGTCTCCCTCGCAGCATCACTGGTAAAACTGAGTAGGAAACCCCATGAGACGTTCTCTCATGGGCTTCCCAATATTTCCTCTTTTCATTTTCATGGAAATGGAAGTGCTTAATTTGTAACGAAAGAGGAGCTGGGGCTCAAGTAATTTTTTTTTACTTTCATAAATGACGCGACAATCCCAGAGGTGTGGGGGCTATGAGGTGCCAGGGCACAGCCCTGGCAGGCCCTGGTACAAATTAAGCATTGGGGAACAGCCTCTCTCATGGGATTTTGGCAATAATAACTGAAAGTGCAGATGCTCACAAAAAATAAATCTAATGAAACCCCAAAGCTAGCCAAATATTTTCAAACCTCAAAAAAGCTTTAATTTGGTTTAGGCACCATATGAGGGCGTGTGACCGAAGTCCTAGGGGGAGCCAGCTGAGGTCACTCAATTAGGGTGAACTGCAAAGAATGGGGCAGACAATCCCCAAAGCTGGTGGATATTCTAATACTTAGATTTACCAAGTCAGCACTAAACAGCTTCTAAAATACCTCACTGGCTACCCAGAAGCCAACAACACAGTTCCCTTAAAGCAACCCAGCCTCAGGCCTTCACCTAGTTACCCAAGTTAGATATGATGAAGATTAATGAAAATCTTATTTCTAGGGCTGTCAAGCAATTAAAAAAAATTAATGGTGATTAATCGTGTTGTTAACCATTAATGGAATACCATTTGTTTGAATATTTTGGATGTTTTCTACATTTCAAATATATTGATTTCAATTACAACACAGAATACAAAGTGTACAGTGCTCACTTTATATTTATTTTTTATTACAAATATTTGCACTGTAAAAAACAAAAGAAATAGTATTTTTCAATTCACCTCATACATGAAAGTTGAACTTACAAATGTAGAATTATGTACAAAAAGTAACTGCATTGAAAAATAAAAATGTAAAACTTTAGAGCCTACAAGTCCAATCAGTCCTACTTCAGCCAATCACTCAGACAAACAAACTTGGTTACAATTTGCAGGAGATAATGCTGCCCGCTTCTTGTTCACAATGTCACCTGAAAGTGAGAACATGTGTTTGCATGGCACTGTTGTAGCTGGCGTCGCAAGATATTTACGTGCCAGATGCACTAAAGATTCATATGTTCCTTCATGTTCAACCACCATTCCATAGGACATGCGTCCATGCTGAGGATGGGTTCTGCTTGATAACGATCCTGCTTGATAACAATCCAAAGCAGAGCGGACCGACGTATGTTCATTTTCAACATCTGAGTCAGATGCCACCAGCAGAAGGTTGATTTTCTTTTTTGGTGGTCAGGTTCTGAAGTTTCCACATCTGAGTATTGCTCTTTTAAGACTTCTGAAAGCATACTCCATGCCTCATCCCTCTCAGATTTTAGAAGGCACTTCAGATTCTTAAACCTTGGGTCGAGTGCTCTAGCTATTTTTAGATATCTCACATTGGTATCTTCTTTGTGTTTTAGCAAATCTGCTGTGAAAGTGTTCTTAAAACAAACATATGCTGGACCATCATCCAAGACTGCTATAACATGAAATATATGTCAGAATGCAGGTAAAACAGAGCCGAAGACATACAGTTCTCCCCCAAGGAGTTGTGTCACAAATTTAATTAACGCATTGTTTTTTAACGAACATCATCAGCATGGAAGCATATCCTCGGGAGTGGTAGCCCAAGCATGAATGGGCAGTGGTTTGAGCATTGGCCTGCTAAACCCAGGGTTGTGAGTTCAATCCTTGAGGGGGCCGTTTAGGGATTTGGGGCAAAAATCTGTCTGGGGATTGGTCCTGCTTTGAGCTGGGGGTTGGCCTAGATGACCTCCTGAGGTCTCTTCCAACTCTGATATTCTATGATTCTATGAATGTTTAGCATATCTGGCATGTAAATACCTTGCAATGCCAGCTACAAAAGTGCCATGCAAACGCCTGTTCTCACTTTCAGGTGACATTGTAAATAAGAAACAGACAGCAGCATCTCCTGTAAATGTAAACAAACTTGTTTGTCTGAGCGATTGGCTGAACAAGAAGTAGGACTGAGTGGACTTGTAGGCTCTAAAGTTTTAATTGTTTTGTTTTTCAATGCAGTTATTTTTTGTATATAATTCTACATTTGTAAGTTCAACTTTCATGATAAAGAGATTGCACTACAGTACTTTTATGAGGTGAATTGAAAAATACTATATATTTTATCATTTTTACAGTTCAAATATTTGTAATAAAAATAATATAAAGTGAGCACTGTACACTTTGTATTCTGCGTTGTAATAGAAATCAATATATTTGAAAATGTAGAAAAACATCCAAAAATATTTAATAAATTTCAATTGGAATTCTATTGTTTAACAGTACGATTAATCACAATTAATTTTTTTAATCGCAATTAATTTTTTTTAGTTAATCACGTGAGTTAACTGCGCTTAATTGACAGCCCTACTTATTTCATCACGTAAAAAAGTTCTACCAATCCCAAGGATCAGACACATTATCTCCCAGGTTAATACATATTCCAGATCTTAACCAAATACACGCTTACAGCCAATTCTTATTAACTAAACTAAAATTTATTTAAAAAGAAAAGAGAGAGAGTATGGTTAAAAGATCCATATACGTACAGACATGAGTTCAATACTTGAGGTTCAGATTCATAGCAGAGATGGTAAGCTTTATAGTTGCAAAGAGCTCTTTTAGATTTTAGTCCATAGGTTATAGTCCAATGTCCAATATTATATTCAGGGTGGACCAGTCAGCACTGGGATCTCAATCTTGTGGCTTAAGCTTCCTCTGCGTTGAAGCATCAAGGAGATCTGAGATGACAGGATCAGGACTCAAGGGTCTTTTTATGCAGTGTTCTAGCATCCACTTGACCATACTGTCCTGGGCAAACAATAGGTTTTTGATGTAACCTTCTGCTTCCAAAACACCACCAGTAATTAGTTACACAAATTAACATAGGGCAATTTATTCATTAGGCAGTATATCACAAACTTCAAAGAGACATATAGACAATGATGTTATTTCACCCAAGATTTATCTAAACGTTCATATTCCTTTTTGATCTCTGAATCCATAGCTATAGTGACAGACAGGAACTGTCTGTTTCCATGGCTAACATTTATGAGTACACATATATAATTAGTATCACCCCTAACTTTAACAATATAGGTTTGCATTTCAAAGTTCTAGCCTATCTAGCATCAAATGGCCTTAATGACCATTTCTAACATATCTCTACAGGCTGACTCTGGGTTAATTAGCCTGCAGGATGCTTAACCCTTTCTGGCCATGTGTTACACCCTTTATAAGATTTGTTACAAGTATATAACTGTGGTAGAAATAATGATTTGCATGATTATATTTTAATTAGATAATGTCACAGGGCGAAGTGTTCCTTTACCTGAACAGGCTAGCCTGTCCTCAGAACCAAATTCTATCCCTTTACAGCCTGTGCAACCCTGTTGACTTCAGTGGGGTTGTGCGGGGTATCAGGGCAGAATTGTGCCTAGATACTTACTAAAAAATAGGATTGTTGGATTGTATTAAATTCTGTGCTCTTAAACAGGTCACCTCATGATGAATAATTCAACTGAGTCGAATCTTCTCTCTACTTTTGATTATGATTATTATCCTGAGTTGGGCTCCGTCTGCAGCACAGAGAATATCAAGATCTTTGGATCAGTATTTTTTCCAGTCCTTTACTGTCTGGTGTTCGTGTTCGGCTTGGTGGGAAACAGCTTGGTCATTTGCGTTCTGATAGTTTGCAAGAAACTGACCAGCATGACTGATGTGTATTTGCTGAACCTCGCCATCGCTGACCTGCTTTTTGTTTTCTCCCTCCCCTTCCTGGCTCATTATGCTTCAGACCAATGGACTTTTGGAAATGCAATGTGTAAAACAATATGTGGAGTTTACTACATTGGCTTCTACAGCAGCATATTCTTCATAACCCTCATGAGTATAGACAGGTACTTAGCCATCGTCCACGCTGTGTACGCTCGGAAAGTTCGAACAACCCTGCTCAGCATTGTTATAAGCCTCGCCATTTGGTCAGTGGCCATTTTAGCTTCAATACCAAATATCTTCTTTATCCAAGAACTTAATGAAGATGGCAGTGTGAAGTGTGCTCCTTATTACCAAGATAATAGGACTACTTGGAAACTTTTCACCAATTCTACCGTCAATGTTTTGGGCCTCTTGATCCCACTTGGCATTCTCATTTTCTGCTACTCCCACATCATGAAAAATCTGCAGAGATGCATGAACCGAAACAAGTATAAAGCAATGAAGCTGGTTTTCATTGTTGTAGTTGTGTTTTTCCTCTTCTGGGCACCCTTCAACATTGCGCTTTTTCTGGACTCTTTGCGAAGCCTGCTCATCATAGATGACTGCGAGACGAGCAAAAGCCTAGACCTGGCCCTGCAGGTGACTGAAACCATCTCCTTCATCCACTGCTGCCTGAACCCAGTGATCTACGCTTTTGTAGGTGAAAAGTTCAAGAAATACCTTCATGAAATATTCAGAAAACATGCAAGATTCTTATTGATTTGCAAAGACCACAATGTCTTTCAGAGTCACTATAGTATCTCTTCTATGCGCACCCAGTCCTCACATTCTTCTGTTATTGACCCTGTCCTGTAAAATAGAATGGGCCAAATACAACCATTCAAGGATGCATTTGGTGTGATATAAGTATGAGTGACTTTGAAAGAAAATACTCCAGGCAGCTCAGTAAATACATTACTTCACGTTGTAGTTGGGAGGACTTATCTTTCAATTAAAGCTCTCTGTTACCCTAGTAATGACTATGGTATAAAAGTTCAGACAATGTTATAATTTCAGTGTCTTTAAATGTATTAATTTGAGCTTCATATATATAATATGCTACCTTACAAGGAGTACCAGGCTGTTATCAATATTATTATTTTTAAGCCTATACGTCACTCAAGTGCTCAGGGACCTATGGACATGTATAAGACATGTAACTATCAACCTAATTTATGAGCTTGGTTTTATAGTATAATTCCAATTATCCAAATTCCCTTTATCCAGAAATCCTAATTACCCAAATCTACAGTGTGTCCATCTACAGTGTGTCCAGCCTTATGTTAGTTCATCACACACACAACTTCTCAATTAGCCTCTTTGCACATGTAAGCTCTAATCAACAGCTTTGTATTTTGTATAGCAGATCTCAAGAAAGTTATTTTTTTACTCTTTTTAATAAAGTACAAAGTATTAAGCTAACATCACCATTACTCCCTCTGTTCCCTGTATTTCTATAACAGTGATACTGCACCTCAAAATAGCACTTTCATTTATCCAAACACCTGGTTAGTCAAAAGATTGAGATGTTCCCCAAACCAATGGGATTTAACAGTAACGTACGTTGTCACTGATGGTTTAAAAAAAAAGTTTCCTGCTGTATACTGCTTTTTTTCTGGTTGAGTTTAATAGCCCCCGTTCTTAAACATGTACAATAGAAACTGAGAGTTACAAACAACAAGGTTATGAACTGACTGGTCAACCATATACCTAATTTGGAACCAGAAGCGCACAATAAGGCAGAAGAAGAGACAAAAAAAATAAAATAAAAAGCAAATACACCACAGTACTGTATTAAACGTAAACTACTAAAAAAAGGAAAGTTCATAAAAAAAATTGACAAGGCAAGGAAAATGTTTCTGTGCTTGTTTCATTTAAATTAAGATGGTTAATAGCAGAATTTTTCTTCTGCATAGTAAAGTTTCAAAGCTGTATTAAGTCAGTGTTCAGTTGTAATCTTTTGAAAGAACAACCATAATGTTTTGTTCAGAGTTCCGAGCACTTCAGAGTTACGAACAACCTCCATTCCCGAGGTGTTTGTAACTCTGAGGTTCTACTGTTTTTGATAGTATATACTTGCTATAAACATTAGGGTAATGGAAGTATGCTTACTCCTGAGATTAATTATTACTTGTGAATAGTTTAATTTACATCATTGAGACAACTTGTATGAATAAAGGTTTCCAGGAATTTGCTCTAAATGAGAAGACAAGGAGGATTATAGCTAAGGGTATGTCTACAGAACAAAGAACACCTCATGGCTGGGACTGGGGCTCGCAGAGCTCAGGCTGTGGGGCTGTGTCATTGCTGAGTAGATTTCTGGGCTTGCAGTGGAGCCTGAGCTCAAGGACCATCCCATTCCGCAGGGTCCTAGAGCCTGGGCTCCGGCCTGAGCCTGAAAGTCTATACAGCAATGAAACAGCCCTTCAACCGGAGCTCTGTGAGCCTAAGGCCTGGTCCACACTACCCCCCCACTTTGGACTAAGGTACGCAAATTCAGCTACGTTAATAGCGTAGCTGAATTCGAAGTACCTTAGTCCGAACTTACCACGGGTCCAGACGCAGCAGGAAGGCTCCCCCGTCGATGCCGCGTACTCCTCTCGCTGAGCTGGAGTACCGGCGTCGACGGCGAGCACTTCCGGGATCGATCCCAGAACATCGATTGCCTGCCGCCGGACCCTCCGGTAAGTGTAGACGTACCCTAAGTCAGCTAGCACAGGCCAGCCGCAAGTATCTATTGCTGTGTGGCCATACCCTAAGGCTCTAAAGCCTTAAAGATGGTACATATGACTGGTAGAATCAGCATGTCAATGGCATACTGAACATTCATCACACACTGTATATCAGTGATACTAAACCGTTAAAAAAGAAAGGGCCATTTTATTTCTTTTTCTGTTTTGGTTCATCTCTGTCATCTCCTCTACTGTCTTTCTATTCTTTCCTTTCACAGCTTATTAAAAAAATAGATTGTGTACTTTTAATTTTCTATTTTTTCCTCATTTTTTACTCCCCCATCCCCATAGATCAGAAGGCACCTCCGGTTGGTGGAACATACATTAGTGGATCTTTGGTTTACTAAAACCAGCGATACCTTGTACAGAAAACAAAACATGGATCAAATTTGTCTCTGAAATAACCCTCGGGCACTCGGGGTTACACAAAGATTAATTTGGTTTAATAATTCAAAATTAGAAGCCATATTTTTCATTTTAAAATATGCTTGTATTTCTTTCTCCGTGACAGAAGAAAACAGAGTAGGGATGCAAACAGGAAACCATAGATAGATCATTGGAACGGTCAGCCTTGGGGAGAGACTCAAACATTTTAACATTTGGGTGTTTTCTTCAGCCACAAGTTATCTATTTTCTTTATAATTTTTTATGTGAATTGCACAAAATGCAAACAGTGAATACCAATAAAATAAATACAGATAATAATGTTTAAAAAGTAAAGTTTAATATGATAATATACTTCTCCTATGTCCCCCCTTTTTAAAAAAGAGTAAGTGACCAAAATTGAGCACATTTCCTTATGATGAGAATATGACATTATATAATATAATTTATATATTATTTCCATATTACCTAATCTCAACTTCTTAATGCTAATATATTATGATATAAAACTTACTGAGGACTGTGCAGAATTCAGGAGAACTAGAGTCCTGCAAATCCTGGGATATCCACTTTATATCCGAGGATGCAATTGTATTGTCCACCATGTTTGCCGATCAGATGCTGATATAATGAGATTCCTGCGTGTACTTCAAAGAGACACAAAGTCCCCCATTCCCAAAGAGAGAGAAGTGTCACATAGACCAACTCACAGCAAAGTCCACCCCTCTCCCCGTAGAAAGAGAGACTAAATATTCCCTCCCCACCTCCCGCCCCGTATACAGAGAAAGGAGAGGTGATACAAATCAAGACAAGCAGCAAAATCCCCCATGCTCCTATCCGTGATCCCTGCTGTTTAAGCAGCCAAGCCTCTGAAAGGCAACTGCTTCTGCACAGTAGGTCAGTGTGGCTTCCTGACTTACTTTGCAGAAGCAGCTACCTCCCCCTCTGACTGCCCATCGGGAGAGGTTTCCTAAATTGTTTGGCTGCTTTAACTGCATGGATAGGAGCATGGGGGATTTTGCTGCCTGTCTTGATCTATATCACCTTCCCTTTCTCTGTATACAGAGGGGAGACGGAATATAGGATCTTGAAAGCAGAGAAGCAGCTGACTGCAGCTTATAGCCCATGTATGAAAGAAGCAAGTCCCTGCAAAAATTAAGCACTGGCTGCGTGGCCAGAGAGCACTCACCCTCACCTGCGCCCCTCACCCTGTACCCCCATTCTGTACCCCTTTCTTGCACCCACGTGGGGAAACTGACGTAGAGTCACGTGGGCACCTCTCCTTGCTCCCCTGCCTCCAGCCCGCAAGGGGGGCGCGGAAGATGACCTGCCAAGCTCAGAGGTGCAAAAATTAAGCACCTTAGCCCTGAGATAGTATTGCCCTTGCATGTGCAGGTACAGCTCCGCTCCAGTCGCAGGAACTTGCTTGGGGAATGGAGGGGAAGGGCTATGGTAGGGACACAAGCACCAGTGCCGTGTAAAACTCAAAGAGCTGTGGCAGGCACAGCAGAAGGCAAGGGAGGCAAGTAGTTGCTTTCTGGTGCACAGCTGCAGACATGTCACTTCTACAAGGAGGGGTCTGGGGTCAGCGTGGTGATGAATAGCCCCTCCCCACCCCCATTGCACTCCTCTTATAGCCTGGTGTTCATAATTCATAACTCACAGAACAATACAGAAGGGCAGTGCAGGATCAATGCTTTCTGGCAGAGATGGCTGCAAGGGTGAAAGTAATTTAAAGGATTTACCCGAGCCTGAGCAGGGGCGTGGCCTCAACCGGAAGAGGTGGGGCTTTTCAAGATTTAAAGGCCCTGGGACTCCTGCTGTGGCTGGGAGCCCCAGGGCCTTTAAATCACCCTGGAGCTAGCAGCTGCAGAGGCGGCTGGGAGCCCCGGGGCTCAGGGGCGAATTAAAGGGCCCGGGGATCTCCGTAGCAGAGCACCGAGCCCTTTAAATCCCCGCCCGAGCCCGGCTGCCGGAGCTCCGGCGGCACTTTAAAGGGCCCGGGGCTCCCCGCAGCGGCTGGAGCCCTGGGCCCTTTAAATCACTGCTGCGGAAGCCGGTACAGTCTGGCACGGCGTACTGGCTCTTGCCGGTACGCCGGACCGGCTTACTTTCACCTCTGGATGGCTGGCTCGCAGGTTATCCGGGGAAGTTGAAAATCAGCTGGAAACCTAGTATGATGCCCATGGAATGATGGGATTGAGAAACCTGCATCCTGTGATGCTGAACCTGCCCCCATGAGGCATTGCAAACCCTTCCCAAAACAACCTGCGGCTAGCTGCACAGTGGGATAGCTACCCACGGTGCACTGCTCTGTGTCAATGCAAGAGCTGCTACTGTGGATGTGCTGGCTCCGCCAACAGAAGGAGCCAGTGTGGACTTGCAACAGTGGTTTAATTACAGCAGTGGCTATACGTCAAGGTAACTTAAGTCAACTTAACTATGTAGTATAGACATTGCCTTTGTCAATGGGAGAAGCTCTCCCGCCAACATAGCACTGTCTATCAGGGGCGTAGGTCAGTGTAACTATGTCACTCAGTGGGTGTGTGGATTTTTCACACCCGAGTGACATAGTTATACCAATATAGGTCTGTAGTATAGACCAGACCTCAGAAATCATGGGTGTGACATGTTAGTTACCCTTTTATCCAAGGTGCAAAAATTCCTTGAAAATGTTTTTAGAAACCATTCTTATTTTTAATGTTATAAATGACCGTCTTCAGGTTCAGGCCAACAT